GTACGAACGGATTTACACATGGTAAGGCAAGAGTTAAGAAAATTGATTCCTACTTATCTATTCCCTAAATTTTTGTAACTATTTTACGATATACTTCATATTTATCTGACGCCTACCGCAGCGACTGTTCCTTATCTCATAAAGAAATAATATTTTCAATTTTATCTTCACGAGATGACTTCATTCTATATTTATTGCTCTCAAACAATTCTATATTTGCTATTCTATACACTTCTAACGAAACGTACAAACCATTACATCAAATACCCAATCATTTTAACACGTTACATAATATTAACCATGATCAATTAATAGTATTCAATCAGTTGAAGTTACACAGCTGTCCCTCCATTTACGCGGAATATTCGTTCCACAGCGGTTTAATTTACGCGAATGAAAATCACGTGCAAGAAATAATAACATTGACATTTCAGGAGACAAAAGTAAATTTTATTTAATGTCACTGAATTAAAATCGCGTAAATTGATATCGTATATAAACAATATCGCGTAATTTTATGATTTACCGCATAAAAAAAGTATCACGTAAATGGAGGAACGGGACGCTGGTTTCTCTATAAAATTCTCTACAATGTTAATTCTATGTAAGATTAACAAATCTAATGCAAAATGTCATTTTCCACTTTATTCGATGAGATTTCGTTTGTCAACACGTTGATATTTGGAAACCAGAGTTTTGATTTTTAAATCCGCTGTTTAAAATTCAGTTAGCTGTAAGGTTGACTATAATATCTTGCAAGGAAATAATGTTAGGAAATGAATGCTTTAACAAAAGTAGTTTGTTATGAAGGAGGGTGTTACGTGTTATAAATAATTATTTTGTTTCTGGATAGTAAGGTGGATATCAAAATCAATTAAATTTTTTTAAGTAAAATACTATAATTTTGTATACTTTCATAAAAAACTTTTTTAAAAACACATTTCATGATAAACATGTTTTCTTTATCTTCAATTATTTTTGTTGCATTTTTCCGGATTCTATTATGATTTCTTTTTATAATAAATCAGTACAAACTTCCGTCTGCATTTTTTAAATTACTAGCGGTTAGGCGAATTCATTGAACTGATATTAAAGTCATGACTTTTTATAGAAAGCCATACAACAACGAAAAATTGAAAGTCGAATTACATAACGTTCCCAATTATTATATCGTGCTGCTAATTCTACGTGACTGAGGATTGTTTGTATTATTTCTAGTGCGTTCAAATATTATAACAATATTTTTATTGTCGATGGTATTGGTTTTGGTATCATTATATGTCGCGTATGAAATTCTACACTAACTTCATGATAAGATAAACGTTCATCACCACGTATACCATAATTCTACTTCTTTCAAATGTGAAAAACATTTTTTAATCATACTATTCTTTTCACTATATAAACCACAAAATCTGTTGCTAACTGCTTAAAAACATGTATTAAATTGACCCTGTAATTGTTACCGGACAACGTAACTAGTTTTTGTTTACATAAAAATAGTAAACATATTCAGTTTATTTTACTCGAGTTGCAGACAAGATTAAATTGACATAGCAGGTCGATAGGACACTTTCGAATATGTGGTTATTCTTTCCAAAAAACTTCTGTTTCTTAGTAATTACACGATTTTCTATGAAAGGTCTTCGTTAAAAGATGAATTCGTTTTAATATACATTATCATAGTATGTAGAAAATCTAACATTCTACAATATTTGAAAAAATTAAGTGAATTTTAAAATCTGCCCCACTAAACCGGATACACAACAATCAAATCAGAAAAGAGAAGAATGTTCCCAACAAGTTTCTTCTCCATCAAATAATATATTAATCGCATAAATAATGTAAAAAATTTTAGTGTACCTCTACCAAAACAGAATGACGGATTTTAAACACAAATTACAGAAATACCAAAACATTGAGTGAGCTTATAATTATGTTTATCAGTATATAAAGCCAAACATGTACACAAACAAGAACATTTCATCATAATATTTATTATAATCAATGAATTGTAACGATAAAGTTGGTTTGTATACCTATGTAGAAATAAAAAAAAGAGAGAAATATTTCTAAAACTGCAGAAAAATCGTAGCAACACACTGAAAAAATACCTAATACTATGAGCATTATGGTCTAATTTTCACTGTATGTAACTGCATTTATGTGGTCGAAAACACAGATAACTATGACTTAAACGTCAAGGCCCGGAAATTGCACTATCCTCAAATTTACTTTATTAATATATAACAAACGAAGTTCACACTTGCAAAATGACATAGATTATTCGATTTAAATTTATGAAGAGTACGTAATACTCTGAATGGTCTTATATTTTTGGGATATAACTATATAATGTAAATGGAAGACTTAATGGCAACCATAATACGTGTTTGTGCGTGCTCTTCATGAATTTCTAAGCAAAATATACGGTTTAGTAACGAATTGTTCAAATCATTTTCTTCAATATTTAATTTTTCATTTTTCAATAAATATTTTGTTTTTAAATTAATGATAACTTTATCGTCTTCTCTTATCGCATTTCTAAAAACGTTCGATACATGAAACAAAAAATCTAACCAACTAACTGCATTTGACGAGTATACGCACCATCTTAAAGCGTAAAATGGTATTAATTCTTTCAACGATGAATTTGTTATTTTTTCAGATAAACATGTAATTCTTCTTTTTTTTGTTCTAGTTTTTCAATAAAATATGCCCTAGGTGCATTCGTTCTGCGTTTTACGAGTATTCACTTCATTTCTTTATTCTATTGAAAAATGAGAGATCTTTCAAACTAAATTCCACAGTTAACACGCTAAACAGAAAAAAAATGTTGCTTTAGTACCAAAAACTTAAGCAGGCAATAATAAGTGTTACGAAATATTCATGTAAAGATAAGGATAATGCCAATATTATTGAATTTCTAATGATGTATACTTACAATTTGCGTTTCCGATGATCGTAAAGGTTCGTCGAACGCATCTTCGTGCCCGTCGATCACCATTGGATCGTCCTCCACTTCGATTTCTTCTACTTTAATGTGATCTTCCAACGATTCCACGGAAGACTGTTTCGGCAGGAAAGGAATTACGGAGGGCTCCTTCATGTACTCGGTTGTGTGAACCCTCGTTTCTATGTGACACCGTTGCATTCGCGTTTCGACTCTCGTGTAAGGACTCCGACTGTTTTCTTGATTCCTGTGGTCACCCGAGAGACCACGAACTTCCAAATCCGTCGCGGTTTTTATTAAGGAAGGCAAGTGCTCCTCCGCGACGTCGATGGAACCTCGATACATAAAATCTAGAAGACATTCCATTTCTTCAACCGCCACGCCTGGAATTTACAATGTTTTGTGTAAATATAAAAATTGTTAATGTACGAATTTCAATAGTACAAACACTAACAACAAGGTAACTTTTGTCATATGTACAAATTAACGATAATATTTAGACAAATTGAATAATAGTACATTGAGTCTCGTTCATTAGATTAGGTTTATATGCAATAAGACAAAGAAGAATAGTAAAATAATGTCAAAGGTATTTTCTATAATTAACTATATACTGAAATAGAGTTATGTACAATTTAAAACAGTGAAAAAAATAGTAAAAGAATTGCCATAAAGTTGTATACATTTGAAATTTAAAACATAAGAAAAGAAATACGTAATTTGAATAGTTACTATTAGACTATAAATTTTGTACGTTTTTTACATATTATAGAAAGCTTTACAAGAATTCGAGGATGTTGGTAACTTACTTTTAACTCCTTATCTTATAACATCGTGTCAGACTCGTGACAAAGATTTCAAATGGAATTTAACACATATATATATTCTCTCGAATTCAAATTAAATATTAGTCTTCTGTTATCAATTATTACACTTTAGAGTTTACATATACATAGAGTATACCTGAAATATTCCTATTTCTTCCAATAAATAATTAACGACAAAGTAGTTCTGTCAATCATAGTGAAGGAGTAAATCGGAGAACAAGGGGTTAATTAATTAAGTTCTTAAAGCAAAAAATGGATTACTATTTAAATCCTACTTTTTATTTAATTATTTTAGGTCTAAGTCTAGTTATGATAGATATTCGTGTTAACTTAATTTGTTTTTAATTATTAGACTTAAACGGACGAAAAATCGACTTTTTTTAAAGGATTCAGATAGCATATTTGGGCACGTGTCCACTCTGTGTGAACAGCACTAGAGCGCTCTATTGTATAGACGTAGACCTGTTCTTAGCTTATGTTCCCCTTTTTCCGATTTATAATTTGTAGCACGCGACCTGCTGTCTGTCACTGTAACCAGCGTCTCTCAATCTACAGTGTACTTACAATGATAATAAAGTCAATGTATTGTACAAACGATGAATATAACTGTTAATAATTAATGAACAGAGTTATTAAAAGGAAGAAAAGGTATTTAATTTTTCAATAATATTTACAAATTCCGAAATGTAATTAGAGTAATTATACGGACAAAGGGTCTCTTTGCAAATTTCAATGACTTTGAAATACGTTATCGATGACGTGACTAATTTTCGCTATACATATTACAGTATATACCACCGCACGATCTTACAAGAAAAAGAAACTTTGTGTGTAAGTAGAGTTGGTCAAGCCTAATACATCGCAATTTTTTTCGTGCCGAATTTCACTTTGACGGGGCAAAACCAGTCTTTGAAAAGAATGAAAATTTTTCTTTCCCGCGGATTATCTGGAAAACGGTAAGAGATAACGATAAACAGTGTCAACAAAAAATACATTGTTTTTTCACGCCCATAAAATTGTAGCATAAAATTTTCAAATAATTATTTTCAAAATCTAAATTTTGAAAAATTTGAATTATTTTTAAATTTTAGTTTGTAATTTTATAAACCTGGAAGAACAATGTATTTTTTGGTGAAACTTTTGTTCGCTATCTTCTTACCGTTTTCACGATAATCCACGGAAAAGAAAAATTTTCATTCATTTCAAAGATGGTTTCACCTCTTCAAAGTAAAGTTCGGCATGACAAAAAGTTACAATGTTTTATGCTTGACTTACTCTATTTACACACAGTTTGATAATTCAAGAATTTTAGGGTTCAATACTTTTCCTTGTTAATTCTTAAGATAATACGTGAAAATACATTTAATATTACATGCCCTATTCTGCAGGTTCTTTTTGCGGTTAGGAGTCGGTCTGTTTTTATAATCTAGCCGACCGACTGATAAATTTTGTACTCGTGTTATCATATCGTATATTTTATCATAAATAGTATTAAATCAAATATACAATTACTATATAATAGCATGCAATTTTGGATAAATTTATTGGAAGAGGACTTCTTTACTGATTTCGATGATTTTTAAGTATGTCGTAGAAATGGGTATTGTGAACTACATCTTTCTCTTACAAAAATTTTGGACTCTTTTAGGTTTCGAAATATTCATAAAAAACTTCCGGGGTCAGGCTGACTGGATTTTTTACAATTATGACATAAAGATTTGCGCCACTGACCTACTAATTCCCCTCTCTGCTATCTACCTGCAACTCTTTGTTATAAATATTAAGAAACGATATTAATGAATTTTTCTTACGGCAAGTTTACTATTTAATGATACATTGCTTTTCGGGGTTAAATAAATAAATATTTCTTAATGAAACAAATTAGCAGAGGGGCCGAAATGTCACCTGCTGAACTGTACACTCTCAAATATGATATTACAAATTCTGGATTCACTGAGATCAGTGAGTTTTACCCTTTAGGAAGTATGAAGTACTATTTTTATATTGGAAACGAAGGCGGTGGTAACAAGTATATGGAAAAGTTAATCAAACCGATATCCATGATAGCATATTTCAAGGTCATTAAAATTGGGGAGGTGATCCATTTTTTAAATAACTATCACGATTAATAACAATCATCATAATTATCATAATTAGCACCGTATCAAACCTCTTATGACTTTACTACTTTATCTAGTATGTATTATCTATATTTTTTCTTACATTCACATCCTGCTTGGCAAAGGAATTTAAAAGTTATGGTCCCTCTTGAGAACTAATTATTTAATTACATAAATAATTTCTATTATTTTATGTTTTACTTTTTCATATTAATATTTGTCCATATAAATAAGAATATTTTTATTGTAACCGTAAATGTACTTTTACATTTTAATATTGGTGATAATCAACTTTAGCGAAAGATGTTTTAATATACTAATATTAAAAGAAACATAAAATAATTCTACCTAATAAAATATTAATATCAAGCAAACCAATGAATTCTAAGTCGAACTAAATATCGAAAGAAGAACAGAAAGTAATTTTACTATTAAAGAGGCACATAACAGTTACCTACGTTTCTAGGAGACATATAAATAGCTGTTACTTACTACCCACCTTTTAAAATAAGAATCGGTTGTTCACCATAGTGTTCTTTGAAGACTCTTTCGAAGTAAGGACTACATGCTGCCAAGACCAATCTGTGTGCTCTCAGCATACCACCCTGGCAGGCTAAGGTCGTGTCAGTCAAAGAGCCACTTTTATACAGCCCTTCAAACAATCCGGACAAGTTTGCCAGGTGATTGTTCCAAGTAAGATTGAATGTCTTATCACCCATTATTGTAACGCTTCAGGTCTCCTCTGTAAAAAATAGGAAAAAGTACTTTAGAAGGTAGTAAAAGTACTTTGTATTATTTTAATATTTCTCTATGTGAGATCGGTAATCACACATATCATAAACACTATTAAACAGCAAATAATTTCAGTAAAGAAGAGTACTTAGACTGCAACTGCAGATGTAATGAAGTAAGTAATGGAACTTAGAAAATACTACAGTTATTCACACATAAAAAAAGGATTTAATCGTATATTTGAATTATATGTATATTGCATTTTTTAATAATATTGTATTACTATTGCTATTACTATTTACGAAAATAATATTAAAATATTTATAATTTGTGCAATTACTAAAATCTTCACTTTTGATTGTCAGTTACTTGAAAAATAACATTGAATATTTGTCTAGAAATTATCAACTTTATGGTTCAATATTAAGTGTATATGAGTATTGTATCATTTATGGAATCCGAGGATGTACAGAATTTCCTATACTTGGTGGTATAATCAGAAAGAATGTGATTCTACATGAAATAATAAAATCAAAACTTGCAGTAAAATGTGTTTATTACCTCTTAGAAGATCAATCGTTAATACTGGCTAAACTAAATACGAACAAAAGTAAAAAAAATAAGCATTTTTTATGTAAAATCTTGTTTCTTAATTCTTGTTTTTTCCGAAAATTGATTGAATGCAGGTGAACTTTTGAACAATTTTTAAAATTTATTTTTTGATTTATAATAAGATTAATCTGAAATGAAGATATTTTATTCTATACTGTCAATTTAAGCTTTCATATAGAACTCTTTTACTAGTTATAACATAACTTTCGTATAACTTTAACTGTATACACTTCATTAATCAATTTTAAACTCAATGAAGGAAGTCAAGAGTAGGTAATGATAATGAAGAGCAGAGTGTGTTCAATTTATGAATTTGCAAAAGCTAATAACTATTGTTACAACTGAAGTGTCTATTCGAAATTTTTTAGTCCATATTTCTGAACGTATGATGTCTAGGAACTTCCAGAAAAAAAACTAGATAGAAAACAGAAATTCGTTGTACGTATTGACATACTTACATTTAATTATAATAATTACAAAAAAATAATTTTATAATGGTATACGAACATTATAAAATACTACAAATGACACTAAGATATGTACTACATTATTTTAAGTGGAAGGTTAATACGACATTGCATTGAAATTTGTAGCTTTTTTATTCATGTTATAGCATATAAGCATTTATGGTGATTAATGATTACCAAACTGAAGTTTAAAAAATTACAAGAAACAATTATGACAAACTTTTGTATTCTACGTGCGAAAAAAGTTACGCGATCTTAACAAGAAAATTACCCTCGTTAAATATTGTGAACACTTAAAAAACTACTTAATTGCAAGTTGGATTATCAAGCATAGTGTTCAATATCTAGTGGCAAATAAAAAAAATAATATTATGCTCCTTCTCGTGTAGTTTTGAAAATAAAAAAGAATTTAGAAAAGAAATTGAATTAATATTCAATTGATAAATTACTTTCATCTCATTCAAATTTTACTAAATTACAACGCATGAACAAAATGCTTTAAATGTATTTTTCTTCAAACGCATCAGAATTTGTTATAACAGAGCTAAATAAACCTATGTACTGGGCTATAATAAATTAAAAATAGTTACAAGCAACAGTTGACAATATAAAGGACATTTTATTAGAAATGTTTCTCTTATTTTTGACATTAGATCTACTGAGCGTTTGATATCATTAATATTTAACGCTTTTAAGATATTAATAATTGCAAAATAAGAAAACCAAAAACCGCCATTTTCATGAGTATGGTAGTTCTAGTGTTAAATATTTATAAAGATCCACTAAAAATCTAATATTAATTGAGGCATTATTGCGCAGAGGCATTAAAATCAGACAGAATATTTTATTTACTTTAACCCTTCGTGAACAAGAATTTTCTGAGCTTCATATTCTCTCTATACATAAAAAGCTAAATTATATAATGAAATTTTAAATATTAGGAAATAAGAAAACCTCACACCAATCTGTCTTTATTTGAATAATAAGATTATTCATTTACAGCTTTCGATTTCAGATACCAAAGCTCGATGTCACTATTACAATTCGACTGCAAAGAGAAAACTAAAAATCACTACCATGAAAATATACAACTTTTCAAAAATATACAATTTTGTACAGCTTTTTGAAAATATACAATTTTATATAGCTCTTTTAAAATATACAATTCTGTACATCTCTTGTAAAATAAACAATTTTATACGGCTCTTTTAAAATATACAATGTTGTACAGCTACTTTAAAACATACAATTTTATAAAACTCTTTAAAAATGTAGAATTCTGTACAGTTCTTTTAAAATATACAATCATATAGAGCTTCTCTTCTGACACATTATGCAACTTAGAAAACCTTGCAAGTCGCTTGGAAATAGTGGACACTCCTCTTCTTCTTCTTTGGCTAGCAAGTCATCGTTGTCTTGTAGCAAAAGACAACGAGAGATGATGCTAAGTGAACAAAAAGGTGCAACATGGGCATGAACAACATGCGTTTGATTACACAGAAGTGCGGTACAGTTCGTCCGACTATTGTTTTACTATTGCTCGCGTGTTAAATATCTTCCTCTCTATCTCTCTTCTCGCACTCAACTCGTAAGTTAAACCTGATGACGCGTCCTTCGTAAGGATTCACTGAGGAGAATGCGAATACATAAATGACAGAGTGAGACAAACTATATTCGTGTGGACAGTTTCACAAAGGCTCACTTACTTTCGTTTGGTCTTTTACTCGTCGCTATGCTAAAAGTTAGATAATTACTCGAAAATCAGTTGCATCGAAACGGAATCGAGCCTGAATGCAAATATAGCTCGAGCCGAACGACAGAGTTTGCCGAATGTAAAAAAGAACAGCGCGATAGTAAAAGATCCGAGAATTAAAACAAACATACTAATAAAGTAATACTAATACACTTTTTCATTTTAAAGTTTTATAGAATGAAACGTCTACCATTTAATTGTCAGACTTTTCTGAGTAATATGTGATCGAACATGATGTAATTTGCAGCATACTCGCTTATTTAATCAATAATAATATCTTATTTTCTCCTGCCTATTAATTCTTCAAAGACAACGACCAATACCTGCCTGGTTTCTATCAATTATTTTATATCACTTTTTCCTTCTTCCTTTTTCTTTTAATTGCAGAAACTAGAATAAATGAGAATTAAATAATAAAAACGGAATAAAGGCACTGGGAACGATATCAGAATCTATACTCTGGATCGACGTCATCTTTGAAGCATTAAGTAAGTAGATATAATTCAAATTTTATCATGTTTAGTCTTATATTCATTAGAACAGTTTTATAAATATGTATATTCCAAATTGAAGCAAAAAAATGTTAAAACTATAAAGCAAAATAAAACACATATAATTAAAAGTTTAACTGAAAAAACTTAAAAGTACAAATTTTTCATCATTGAATTAAAATAAGTCTGGTCGATTCTCGACTACGAATATAATTGTACTTCTTGGCCGTTGTGCTTCACGATATGCCACATAGATGCTTCCCCAATGGCGGGGATGACCACCGAGCAGTTACAAACTTTTACACTAAACAGTTATTCAACTTTTACCGTATTTCTCTTTCTCGAAGTCCTGGCTACTGTTGAATAATATTACAATCCAATGGGAATAAAAATGAGACGCTAAGAGGATCACGTAAAAATAACGTTTCAAAGAGAACTTCATACATGCTGTATCATATACTGTCAAATTCACTTCAAGATGTCACTTATTTGATCTTGTTTCGAAGTTATAATCATTTTTGTTTTTCAATAATCAGCAATTGGTTACCTTCATAGAAAATCAAAATGTGCTTGATATCGTCGTATCAAAAAATTGTACTATATTTCGAAAATTCCGGGAAGTACAAAGCATTATTTGTAAATACAATTAGGCCAGATATTCTAAACATTAACACGTTAAATGCCACAAGATTTCACGGAGCAAACTACACGAAATGGAAAAGGGCATAGTATTGAATTATTGAATTGAATTGCTTTACTGTTATTGCACGTTTATATTGTCGAATGTCACTGCACTAGGTAACATTATTTATAATATACAAATGTTTCCACATGTTTTCAAATTACCATTTAATTCAGTGAATTGTAGTGATTTGATTTGGTTGGGGGTCACTGGTGACTCCCATGGCATTCAACGTGTTAAGAAACACATCAGCTTCATATATGCATATTGAATGAATCTTGCGATTAATATACAGGGTGACTTAGTAATATAACGACTTCGAAATACACTTAACCCTCAATTTATACAGCATTCGAATTGCACGATTTCGGTTTAACACGGTTAAAGAACAGCGGAAGAACTTCCATTTAACATGTCAGACAAATGCAAAAATTACATTAATTTAAAAAATTTTTTTAAATTATATATACAACTTGGTTGGATTAACGAATTTTTATTTGAAAATATGCATATAATTTTTTACTTTATAACAAAATAAATAATGCTATTTCATATGGATTTGTTAAATTTATTACATGTATACTTTTTTTCAATTTGAATTGTGGACTCGAATTGCACGATATCAATTTACACTCCATTTTCGGGGAACCAATCTACCGTGTAAATATACTTGTAGATTATTCACTGTAGAAAGAAATATTTCAAACAAAAGTTGCATGATTTGCGAAGACATATATCACATGTTGATGATATCTAAAATCGAATAACTGTGTTTTAAATCATGATCTACCGTTATACATGGAGTTATGTTATAGTCATATTGTCAGAATCGCTTTTCTAATAGAGAAAAGTGGGATAATGGCGATTACTTACGCAACAACTGTAATAAAGTGAAAATATGAGGTACAATATTTATTTTCATGAGTGTTTCATAAATTTAAATTATTTATCTATTCGTACAATACAAAAAATACTTTTATATTTATTTAAATAACAAAATTTGTA